GCGGAAGACCAGTGAAGTCCTGCTCCACTAATCGCACGTAACTCCTGTGTTGGGCCGCAGAGTATCCCGAATGCAGTAATGATAACAAACCCAATGCTATCACGTATTTGTACCACAAGTCAGACATTACTGCTTCCGGAGGTTGTTGTGGTAAATGACAGACAAATTCAATGATAATTGTGTGCAAAATGTGCACAAATATGCACTTTATATGGAAAGCAATGCATTCATGTCTAACCCATAGATGGCTTAACAGTAGAGACTATTTTATTCACACATTTTTAAATGTATTTTTTTGCAAACTTTTTACAATATGTTTCCACTTTTGCACACATTTTGACATTCATTTTACACTTAATTTAAAATGCATTTATTTTGCATACCATTAATGCATTCATTAAGTGCCATTAATATTAGTTAATAAACAATTATCATTAGTTAACGCAATTGTTTACTCAAATAATAGCGAAAAATATTGACATATTTTATGGCATAAAATTACATTCAATGAAAACGAAATGACAAAAATTGGGACAATTATCACATGAATGACGGCAACACTTGAGGGGTGTTTAGGGGGTCTGTCGTATAGGAAAGGCTTATGAGGGGACAGAATAGGGGCCAAATATAGTGACTAAATATGAATGAAATTCAAGTTTACTTTCTATGCAAACTTGTTTGAAGTGATGATCACATGAACAGTGTTTTAAACACCACTCAAACCGTTATTTTAATCGTTAAGGCGTTTTGTTATTGCAATCAAAACATTAACACAAACACTATTATTGATTACTTTCACCATTTGTATTGATTTTGAGGTAAGTTTCGATGCATTCATTCATTTATTAAACCATTGATTACACGATTAAAATCACAAATAGTGTTATGCATTAAAGAGACACACATTTAATAATTCAATTTTAATTGAAATACAGTATAATTAAAGCCCTATTTCTCACTATATCTTTACAATACGATAACAAAAGTGTTTACTTTAGCACTCATTTTATTATTGATTTTGTCACCACTTTATATATACCACACAAAGACTTCACACATTTCTTGTGTCCAATCATTTGAAGACACAAAACAATGGCTAAGAAGAAGAAGTTTTCGGATAGAGATAGAGGTGACCATCGCTTCACATATAATTGTAATTTTGTTAACATTGAAACTCATTGTCAGCGCCGGCGCCGCCTCAGCAACAGACCAGACCCGCCGCCCGACCCGTTGCCGAAGAAACGGATTTCCCGTCATTGGGAGGACCCTCACAGCCGGCCCCTCAAGCCGTCGCCCCCATACGTGCGGCCACAGCTCCCGCGCCCGTCCCCACAGCTAGACCTGTAGTATCTGTGCCTCAATCGCCACCCCCTCAGGCGGGTTATAGCGGGGGTCAGTCCTCATCGGTCTCTGAATCGGGTGACCAGAAGGCGCCCGAAAAGGTATTGATTGACAATATAATTATTTTGCGGTATTAACTGATTGTGTGATTGTTGTGGTTATAAAAGCCCTCAGAATTGGCCGAAAAGTTACAGAAAAAGTTGACTCTTTCAACGCCCAGAAGGAATCACAGGGCGTTCCCGAAGCGACCCAAAGATCCAGTGGTCGGACAATCCGTGCCTCTTCTCACCAATCATTTCCTTATAACAGTGGGAAAGAAAACTCTCGCTTATCATTACGACATTGAGGTCGAGAGGGCTTTCAAAAAGCCGGTCGAAGACCCGAATGTTGTCGACAAAGAAGTGGTTGAGTCCACTCTCGCTGTGAAAAAGCAAAACAAATTTAGCCGAAAAATCGGCACAAATCTAAACCGAAAGATATTCCAACAAATGATTGAAGCGTATTCGCAAACTCGTGGACAACACTTTCACGGCATTCGCGCCGTATATGACGGACAGAAGAATATGTTTACATCGCGTCAATTGACTGCTAATCCCATTAGAGTTGAGGTATCGCTGAAAGAGGGCGACAGAACCTCCGACTTTTTCGTCAATATAAAACTGGTTGAAACCAATAATACAATTGATTTGAGTATTTTGAATGATTACAAAGAGGGGAAGACGTGCGACGACGAGGCCGTCAAGAAGAGCATACTCTTCATTAATACACTGTTGAGACATCAGGCGTCCATGGATTTGATACCAATCGGTCAGTCGATATTCACTCGACAACCCGGACAACACTTGAGTCCAGTTCTGGACCTTTCGTATGGTATCTATACGTCTGTTCGCAATTTGATGGCCGGACCCACTCTTAACGTCGACCGATCGGCCGCTGCTTTCATTAAGCCGACAGATGTTAAGATTATCATTGATTATATATTAAAGGGTGATTTGGGTCTAATTCCCCGATTGACGCCATACCAGATGAGAAACATTAAGAGAGAGTTGTCCGGACTTCAAGTGGAGGCCAAACACATCTCATATCAGGGCTCGACGGGAGAGTATTACCGAAAATACCGGATTATTGGTCTCTCAGAGTAAGTCTCAATCAATCACTTTAAATAACTTTAATAATAATATTTAATGAAATGAATTGATAGCAAACCCGCGAATGAGGAGATGTTCGAGTGGTCTGAGACCGACAAAGAGACCCGAATGGTATCAGTCGTCCAATACTTTCATTTAAAATATAACATAAGGTTGAGATATCCGAAAATGCCGTGTCTTTTGGTGGGAAACCCCACAAAACCGTCTAAACTGCCGCTCGAAGTGTGCAAAATAGTGTCTCACCAACGGGTCAGGCGTTCGCTAACAAACACCGAGAGATCCGAAATGACCAGAATCTCTGGCCAACAGCAACCACACCAACGATTCGGCCTAATTGAGGACCACGTGATCAATCAGTTTCACTCAAATGAATCGATTGGTGTGAAAAACAAACAGTTTTTGTTTGAATTCTCTATTGATATCAGCAAACAATTGCTTACTGTTGGCTCGAAGGTGATTGCGGCGCCGAGTCTTAAATATAGGGGCAATAAGACTGTTAGTCCGCGAGACGGCGAATGGGAGATGTTTCGGGTGCGCGCGGAGTTCTTCAGAGCCGCCAGGTTTGCAAACAATTATAATTAATACAGTTTGCTAATGAGTTTTTGCTATAGTTTGGAAAATTGGATTATTGTCAACATGTGTTTCGATAAGTCATTTAGTGCCGAAAACATTGAACAATTTAGTAAAGATCTGTGTTCTCAGGCCGAGGAGATGGGAATGCGAACACAAGCGCACAAAATGGTGGCCAATATTCCCGAATTTAAGCAGGATACATTTGCCATCATTAAGAATAAGATCTCTAAAATGCCATTGAAAGCCATTTTGTTCATAACTCCCGTCAAAACGCATCCATACAGCGATACGATCTATAGTGAGATCAAACTGTTGGGTGACGTTCAGAACGGATTGACCACTCAGTGCGTAAACGCGGCCAACTTATGGGACGGCAGACAGACGGATCCCAGACGGCGACGAAAGTGGAACAGAAGTTATTTGCGACAATTGATGCTTAAAGTGAACCCAAAGTTGGGCGGCATTAATGTGGCGCTTATGGACTCGGCGTTAATGCCGGAAATTTTCAAACAGAAGTCACTGATGATTGTGGGCGCGGATGTGAACCATCCGGCGCCCGGCGATAAAGTGGAACCGTCCATATCGGCAGTGGTTGGCAGTTATGACAACGATTATTGTAATTATTATACGATCACTAAATTGCAACCAAAGTCTCGCGAAGAGATGATCACACAATTGGACTCAATGTTTGTCGAATTGTTGAAGAATTATCAGAAGCACAACAAATGCCTTCCGGAGAGAGTGGTCTTCTTTATACGATCACTAAATTGCAACCAAAGTCTCGCGAAGAGATGATCACACAATTGGACTCAATGTTTGTCGAATTGTTGAAGAATTATCAGAAGCACAACAAATGCCTTCCGGAGAGAGTGGTCTTCTTTAGGGATGGCGTGAGTGAAGGGCAGTTCCAACACGTGATTGATCACGAATACCCACTTATAGCGGAAGCGTTTGCCGCGATTAACGCCAAACACAAACCAAAGATCACATTCCTTGTGGCCCAAAAGAGACATCACACCCGCTTCATGACCAAAGAGGGCCGTAACGTCGCGCCCGGAACTGTTGTGGACAACGGGGTCACTCATAAAAGCGATTTTGATTTCTATTTGTGCTCTCAGGCCGGAAGAATTGTAAGCTATTTGTTATTATAAATTAATTACGATATGTATTATATGATCTGTATTACTGTCTGTTAGGGCACTAGTCGTCCGGCGCACTACTATGTGTTAGCCGATGAGAACGGTTTCAAAGCGGACGACATGTGCAAAATGACGTACTATTTGTGTCATATATACCAGCGCTGCACGAAATCGGTGTCACTTCCGGCGCCCGTATTCTACGCCGATTTGGCCGCATATCGCGCTAAAGTGCTCATAAGTGGACTGCAGAGGGGGAGCGACACCGCATCAGTGGTCAGTAGTGGTGGTGAAGGCGATGGTGAAGACGGTGGTGGCGATGCACCGCAAGAGATGTATACGGATTTGCAGTCAAGAATTAATGTCAATTCCGTTCAAAAAGAGAAATTATATTTTTGTTAAATCACTATAATTTCATGAATTTTTCAATAATTATTATTACACTTATATTACTATTGAGACATTGAATAGCCGGCCATTGGTTTGCCGTAAATTTAAAGAATAAGTTTAGTATAGAAAATGACTGCCATTTATGGGTAGAATTTATGCATTTTGTTCACTCGATATGAAATTTATTTGTCGGTATTTTACGCCAATTCAACGGAAAACTATTGAATGTCTGAACAGTAAATTTAATTATATATTCAATGATCTCTTGAATGATCTATAATTAATGTTATTCAACAATGATTTGCATTTTTTTCACTTAATTATTATTAATAAATGCCATAAATATTACGCAAAATGTTTGGAAATTTATTGAAGATTGAATACCCGTTGAAATAATGGGACACTTGAGAGGTATCGATGGGTTTGGGAGAAGGATTGCAAAGTGTGGTCGGTTTAAAACGTAAGCCTACAAGGTTATTACCATGCTTATTTAAATAATTGTGTCTACAATAGATTGATTGAGTTACGGGAGAAGACCGGTGGCGTAACGCACAATATACATGTATGTAATAGTAATTGACCTGGGTCATTGGCCATCGAGGTGATTGCATTTTTGCCTATTATATTCTTAATACTTAATTTACTTGAACTTAATTTCCAATACATTTTCTTTGCGTATAATTTGTATCAAATTATTTATTTGAATAAAATATTGATTTTTGTGTAGTTTTTTATCGAGTAATTGAACTAATTTGATGTTTAAGTGGAAATTAATAGGAAATTATGTGAACCACTGATAAACATAAGTGATTTACTTTCCATTGTGTCTATCAATGCATATCTTAATTAAGTTTAAGTGTTTAATAATGTGCTTATTATTAAAATTATATTTATTAAGAAATTGATTAAAAGTTTGATTAAATAATGAACAGCGGATTGAAGTGTAAAGTTGTCATCATTTCTATAAATAGTATACAATTCTGTATTTTGAGCCCAATTTAGTGATAAGGGATGGGTGTGTGAGTGCGGTGTCCAATGTCTTCAAGCCATGCCCTCAACAGTCGACAGCGATTGCCAAACAGACCGGACGGACGTCAATATCAACGATAAAAACTATAATTAAATCAATGATGAAATGTTTGGTGAGATTTCTTTACGGATACGACAGGTCTCAGTATCCGACCCACAGATGGCTTAACACTTGTGTTTTGCCAAACTTTTTCACATATTTTGCACTCTCTTTGAACTGAAAATATTTTGATTAAAACTTTTGAATTCATGTGAATTGAACGAAAAATTATTACAATGTAAAAACTATGAGCCAATATATAGTGCAATAAAACCATTGATTACATAATTATAACAATTGGGAAGTGAGAGAAAGATGAGACCAAAAATGTGTTAATAAAGTGGTGGGAAATGTATATCAAAAATAGCTGTTTTGAGAGGTGTGTAGAGGTATTGGTGTTGGGAAACACATGACACTCATGAGGGGCTGGCTATAGGCACACACATGGAGTGTATATACAGTATGTGTTGGTATGGATTGGCTGTCCGTATGGGAAGAGCCCCTCAAATATTGGTAAAAACATTATACATTGAGAGATCGGATCCGACAGTACATGTACTGCCAATACAATCTCGATTAAACATTTAACTATATATTTAATATTGTTATTAATTTCATTGATTAGTCGTGAAAAAAGTTTTGTCACTTTCGTTACACTTCTGGAAAACTTATTCAATTTTTAACTCAATTTTTTAATCCCATTATAAATATTGTCGTATTTTAAACAGTATTTGTAAAATCAGTGTTTGTTTTTTGCCCACTATTTTCAAGTGTATGTATAAAATGTTTGATTAATTATTTCTGATGGCAAATGTTTTTGCCATAAATCTACACAAACAGTATGTTTATTAACACCACATGTCATATATAAACAGATCATTGGATTTTGTGACTTTGCATGAGATAAACGCGATGGCAAACAACACTCAAGAGATGACATCCAGAGGTATACTTTACAGACACACAGTTTTGCGATCAAAACTATTGGAAATACAGAAAAAGTTAATGAATTTTTTGGTCATTGAATCAGACGGCGAGAGTTTGGTTACCGACGAGAACGGCACCGGAGGAGAGGGTCCGGCCTTTGACCCGAACAACATAGACCTGAATCTGACGGCCAATGCGTCCCGAGAGATACCGAAGGGCGGGATGTTATACGGGGAATACCTTCACGTGAGTTGTGTTTCCCCTATTATATTGTGTATCACTTGTTTGTATCATCTGTTTATGCCATACATTATTATCGGTGTTTTTCCTCACAAAACCAGATAACAAACTCATCACTAGATCATTGAATTCAGAGTAAATAATAAATTACTGTTAATAATAATAATGTCATGCATTTAGCGCTCAAATCATACGATTTATTGTTTACGTGAATGAGAGAGAGAGAGAGAGAGAGAGAGAGATGTAATTATATTATAGTTTTTTGTGATGGCAAACAAGAAGTAATCTCTCGGATGTCTTACGTCATACACTCTATGACTGATGTTTAACACTCAATGACACTAAAATTAATTAACTAGATATTTGTTGTCAATCAAGTGGTGGTTCACTGCCACCTCCCCCTCTCGATATATACAGTATAATGCATTCATATGTACGTGTAGTCAAACCCCCCGGCCATTGAATCCCTGTATCAAATGATAGTATACTCCGAAACATCCGATTAATGAAATTAAAACAATTCAAAACACGTTTACATTTTATAAAAAGACTAAAAAAGTTTTGTAAATTCAATACCCGATGGCCAACCCCTTTGATGTATTATTGGTTTCACTGTATAACTGATGATTAAACTGTATATTTTATTGTAAATTAATAACTCGTTTAATATCAATATTTCTTATGTCTTAACGACAGTGAATGACAGCAAAAGTGAGTGAAGAAGTTGTGTCGAAAACTTTATCAATGGAAAAAAGTTAGTGACAAAAACACTGTACACTTGAGGATTGCTGTCAGAACTTTGTCCTCGATATTGATTACTGATCTGATGGTTATTCATATGTATGATAGGGATAGCCATAAGGCTTTTCAAATTGTCATTAATCTTATATCTTATTTGTTTGAATGTTTTCTGTGGTATTCCTACCATATCATGAATAATATACATGTACTGTATATAAACTTTTTTAATAATAATAATTTAATTTTTTGTTGTTTTTAAAGTAATTATCTGCAGATATAATATGTGCCAAAATTGTTAAAACTTGAGATGACGTGATCTAACTCTACTCTGAAGGGACATTGATATGTCTTGTATTATACCCGGTTATAAACACACTTTTTCTACACTATACAGAGCCGTACACTAGCACTACACGAATGTGGTGTGTTTTTTCAGTACACTATTACACAATACAGTGTCAATAGATCTACGATGTGCCCAATTATCCGATTAGACCAGAATATATCAATTATTTTCACCATATTCTTGAATATTAGAATAGATAATGGCTTTAAATTTATTAAGAGAGCACTAAAACTCTGAGCCAATTGCTAACCAAATTTGCGAAACGTGTACTAAATAATTGACAAATGCTTTTGTAACGATTATTATTTTTTAATCAAAGCCCTTAACACTCGACAACTGTTTAATTGCTTGTTTTTGTCACATTTGAAAGATTAAAAACATTACTACTCATACACTTGAGATAATTAGCGTGTAATCCAAAAACAAATGCTTAATTACCACGATTTTTATCGCCCGAACGCGACGGACAGATTGATCGGCTGTTGTCATGTCAGGAACCGGTCACCCGAAGTACGAGGAATGAGGTGCACGACGAGCACCTCTTCATTATCACACACCAGGCCTACGAACTCTGGTTCAAACAGATTCTGTGCGAAATAGACTCCGTTCGCCAGATTATGAACCGACGGGTGAGCGTAAGTCATACCCACCAGTCCTCGTCTTTATCCCTTCACGTGATCGTCTTCTCTAACTGTCTCCACACTAATCACTCATTGCTATTGAATGTCTGAAAATAAACTTAAATTATAATCTGTTTTTGATTGCAATGCCATTAGGACGTCGATGAGACCAATATGTTGGTCATCACATCCCGTCTCAATCGGGTTGTACTCATACTTAAGGTAGGATAACATTAGCCATAGAGCTTAAGACACTAGTGATGTTATGTGTAAATTGAATACCAATTGTTGTGTCCATGCGATAGCTTCTTGTGGATCAGGTGACGATACTGGAGACTATGACTCCATTGGATTTCATGGAATTCCGTAACTTTCTGTCGCCGGCGTCGGGCTTCCAGAGCGTTCAGTTCCGTCTAATGGAGAACAAGTTGGGAGTGAAGAACGAGTTGCGCACGAATTACGGCAAACTTCATTACCTGAAGATCTTCGAGAATCCAAAAGTGATTGATTTGATCAAACAGTCAGAACAGGAGCCGTCGCTCTGCGATCTCTTACAGTTATGGCTCGAGAGGACACCCGGTCTCGAGAAACACGAGTTCGACTTCTGGGAGAAATACAAGAAAGTGGTGAATCAACTCATGGATCAAATCAAGACCGACGCCGACAACGAGTCGGAAGAGCAACAGAAGGCTCTACTAATGGATGAGTGGAAACGGAAAACGGAATTATTTGACTCTATATTCGATGTGAATAAACACAACGCTCTGATGGCCAGAGGGGACCGTCGGTTCACCCATAAGGCACTTCAGGGCGCGCTTATGGTCTCCCTATACAAAGACGAGCCCCGATTCAATCAGCCCTTCCATATACTAATGCTTCTCATGGATATCGACTCTTTGATCACTAAATGGCGCTGTAAGTCATGGATCGGCTCACAGTTTTCACTATCATTTCTCCCTTTCCTCTCTTATCTCTTGGTGTCAAACATCTCATTAAACCCTTTTATGTATTGTTATTATTAGCGTTAAGTTTGCGTTTATATAACAATATGTATTTAAATCTCATTTAATAATAGGATTCGCCAGACATATGACTACTTATGAGATAATGAGATAACAATTGCCTGACATTAGGGGGAAAAACGAAGTGTATTATGTGTTTGTCGTCTAAATTTTGCAAAGAGTTTATTGCACTTGAAATGAGAGGGAATTTGTTGAGCAGATATCACAATAGTTTACTAACAATAAAAACATTTCCTCTACTAATTCAGACTCTTCTTATGAATACCATATCAACAAAATTTTCATTGAATATATCCGTCAATCAATGAATTGGCAGAAAAAGTACAGTAGCTGTTAGTGAAACACAACCAGAATATACTGATATATACCGCTATTTTGAATCACTGCCCCCTTTCCTACCCTCCAATCCCTGGGAATAATACAATAATTAATATATGTATGCAATTGAATGCCTATACAGACAATCACGTGGAAATGGTGTTGCGTATGATCGGCGCCCACCAGTTTGGCACCGGAGGCTCATCGGGTTATCACTATCTGAGGTCAACGCTAAGCGATCGCTACAAAGTATTTGTCGATTTATTCAATTTGTCGACATTTTTGATCCCAAGAACTCATATCCCGCCGCTTACGCCCAAAATGAAGAGACGACTCGCCGTTATGGACGACATCGACATCGCCGATGAGCTCGATGTCAATGATGTCGATATCAATCACTGACACCCGATTGATATTACAGTATAATAAACACATTGTTATAATATGCATGACTTTTCTATGATTTGATTACTATATAATTAAGTTTTCCACTTTTGGAGAGAAATAACTTTTTATGTTTACAAATTTGGCTCAAAGTATACGATATTTTATATGTGTTTTATATAACGATGTTTTATTTTTTGACTGAAAATACTGGGTCTGTTAATCGATACCAAAATTGTTTATATAATTCATTACAGAATTTTATTATATTTAACTATTTTTTGAACATTTTTAAATGAATACTCGGATTCCTATTATATTACCACATAATATATAAGTATCGATAAAATGCATTTAAAAGTCTATTTTGTTATCAAATAACTAATTTGTTGCTCAAACTCTTGTGTTTTTTAATAATACAGAATAACTCGATTGGGGTTTAAATTTATAATCAATTTATTTACTAAAAATAAAAGTGTTTGCATTTCCCTGACATTAAAGCAAGGATTTCTTTGATAATTATATGAAATGTTTGAATAAACAACTTTATTGACAATATTTCATATATTAATTGTCTATTTATTGTCTAAATAATATTTAAATGCATAGACAATAGTTATTTTGTAGTTTAAAATTGAATTTTATCTTAAATCAACAATTGTCAGCAAATTGTTTGCATAATTAGTTTAGATGACTATCAAAAGTAATTAAATTCAAATTAATTATGCAATTGTTGGACAGACTATAAGGAGCCGACTGTTAAATAAAAAGATTTATTAACTTTAAAATTAATATTCTAGTAAAACTCAAATCACATGAGTTTTAGCGTAGTTTTCATGTAATTATTGCCAAACCGGGAAAAATTCATTGCAAAAGCAATTAATTGAAATCTTATAAGTGTTTCGATTAGAAAAATACTGTATTTTTAATTTTTAGACTATTTTTGAGCCAAAATTTTAATTAATTAGGAAAACATAAATGTTTGACAAAAATTATTTCGCGCATAAAAACGGCATTAAAATTGGTTTTTAATGTGAATATATTTTCTTTACCTTTAATTCCGCTAATGATATGCATTTCACTCGTTTATTATCGTTATGTTTGCCAACCATTTCTTGCAATTTTTATTTATTCATTATTTTCTTTTTCTCGTTTTATTACAAGTCATACAAATAGACCGATAAAATAATTGTGAAATATTTCTACTTTAGGTAAAAATAATTTCTTGATTAATAACTTATTAATAATAAGTTATTATTCAAAACATTTCAGACAAAAATAAATACTGTTTTATTGTTTTCGAAAACATCTCAAGAAATTAATATTTGTATTGGAAATCAAAACTTTGATAATAAAAACATAAATAAATCTATTCTACACGTAGTAAATATAAAAATTGAGAATCACCATGCACAAATTAATAATACTAAACTATACGTAATGCTGTGCCCAACAGTGACGGACGGTATGGAAATGTATGCGAAATCTCCACTAAATATATAGCTTTAATTTTTTCTTAAATATTCACAAAGAATATTACTTTTAGCGAATGGGACGATAGTTTTGGGGCACATTTTAGTGTAAAATAAACATTGTAATAGTGATGGGCAAACCCCATATCATTTGTACGAGTGGTTCATTATTTAGGACTTACTGATAGTGTACTTACTTTTTGACTTTCATTATTTGCAATAATAAGCGAGCGTTTCATCAGAAAATGTTTTGTGGCATTTCTTTTGACTAATTTTAATATTGTTTTCATTCAATTACTTTTATTATTGCCTTTAATATAATTACTACTGTTTATTACTAGTTTAATTTAATTTTCTAAGTTTAATGATTAAAATATTATTTATTTTAAGAAACAATACTTTATAGAATTAACTAGATAAAACAATATTAATCGTTTATTCGATATACATTTATAAAAATAGTTCGGTTACTACTGTATTTCTAACTTACCTTAGTATTTTGTACATAAAATAAATAAAATGTTGTTGACATGCTAAATTTATCAGAATATGTTGTACTGTAAAAATAGTGCATTTATTTGTTTTATTATTGAAGAATTAGATGACTTAAAAATATATTTATTATTTACTTAAACCCAAAGACATATTAATTTTTAATAACATATTTCTTTTCAAAACCGATTTATTATGCATTGAATGTGTGATGAAATATATGATTGAAATTGCATTTATATTTATTAATTCAAAATTTTAATTTTGCAAAATTGTAATAGATGATGTAAATCTACAATTAATTACTTTACAGTACTTAAATTTTACTTTTAATTCATGAGCAAATACTCTATTTTAACATTTATTTTATCTATAAATACAATACTGTTTGTCAATTGGGGTTTTAAATGTCATTTAATGTCAATAACTATACAAAAGGAGTAATCCATTGTCTGAAACAATATCACTGTTTGCGTGTAATTGTTATCAAAAAATAAGTTTAATTGTAATTATTATAGTTTTAAGTATTTAATTTATAATCGATAGACACTGACCCCGTGCTATAGACAACAATCATGATAATTATACCAGTATTTCATGTGTGTTTAGACCACTTTAATTAATGCTAATGTTTCCTCTAATTAATTATCTAATTAAATATATTCTTTGCATCAAAAGCATAGAGTTATTGATCCCATTATAAACCCTATTGTTATTACAATTAAACATTTTAATAAATATAATAAATAAATTTTCCTCAAATTACTACTGAAATGAATTGTTTATATATCTTATGATTTCAAGTGTTGTTCAATAAATGATAATAAAATTCCTTAAAAATTAATTATTTAATTATCAGAAACTAAGGGGAAGTGTTTGTTGTGTTGGCAAACAGTCATTCAAATTATCTCTTAAACAAACATATATTTATTGTTTGTTATTAATATTAATTTTTTGAATTATATTTATAATATTTTTGTTGTTATTCTTGAGGAACAGAATGTAAATATATTTTTGATGAAAACAATATCTAAAATTAGATGAATGTTAATTTTTGAGGCAAACATGTGATAGTAATTTGAAATTACTAATTTCAATAATATTTTCCTAATCATCAACTGATGAAATGATTTTAATTTTATTAGATTTTATGTCAATTTTTATGGACCGCTTGTCTTCGTATATCTATAGAATTTATTTTTATATATTATTATATAACTTATATAAACATCTATGTAATTATGAATACAAATAGCAAATCCTGTTTTCCACTGCAATTGATACCAATTATTATCTCAAGAAAGCATTTACTTGTAATACCATTTAAAATATATTTGTAATAACAAACAACTATTTGAGTTTAATATGATTTGTTTCCATAAGCTTATAATGTTGTTTGTAATCAGATTAGTTTTCAAATAAAATTATACTTTAAATTGTATTGTTTAACATTCAATGAATTTAGGCTTTTGCCAGTGATTGATAATTTGTTTCAAAATTACAACATAAAAATTAATTACATAACAGAAGGAAAAAATATTATATAAAAGTTATTATCAAAATATTTGATATCTCCAGCAAAATGTATGGCATTTTAATTCCAAACTCAATTAAGTTGTAAAATACAAATTAATTTTATATTTCAAACAACAGAAGAAAATCTCAGTTTCGTTATTATTTTCACTTATTATCTCATAAATAATTATCAAATAAATATTATTTGAATTATAAAAACATTGCATTTGAAATAAGACACAAATTTGATACATATTATGTTAAGTCTCTTACAAGAGCTTATGTTTCAGTCCCTTATTTTTCGTATCCTTAGCATTAATTATAACTTATAATTTATAAGAGGTTTTAATTTCTAAGGAAGGAAAATAACAAAAACAAGCATTTCACTTTTTCTCGTGAAACATAATGCATAACATATTTGATAGGATGTAGTTTTCATTGGAAAAAATTAATAATTTTAAAAATATATTAAATAAACTCAAAAAAGTAGAGAGAGAGAGATGAGAAAAGAGAGACTTTGAGGAGAGTCGACGGTCTCGTCGAAAGTCAATAAAGTTTTGTTGAACTCTA